AAAAAATCAGGAGAATAATGTGAATAGCAGAACGAAAGGGTATTCGTTTAGCTGGTGTTCCACCTTGCCCTTACCCTCACTGTTTTTGCATTGTCCGTCCGTCAGAGTGGAACACCAGCTAAATGAATACCAACAGAACTAACATATGATTTTATTTTATCAAAAACTCAGTTAACACATTAAGAAAACTTATTTTGTGAATAGATAAAATTGATGAACAGAGTTAATATTAGTTAAGCTTAAACAACCATCGTAGTATGGCGCCATCCCTCGAATGAAACTCACTTTTATCAAAAAACAAAAATGTAGTTTGAAAGAGTAGCGGCCCTCAGTAATTTCTATCATAGAATTATTTTCTGACAAGAACATTTTTTATAATAGTGCATTTCAACATTGATTGGTGTTTCTCGCTATGCTTTTTATCACCAGACAGCGTACTAAGAACGAAAGAATGATTCATACTCATCGCCATTTAGGCCATTTAGTTGTTATTTAATGAAAATGTTTCATTGGTTCAACATTCTCCATTCTTACTCTCGGTCATCACAGTCTCACACTCAAAAAGAACAATAGAGTTTGTCAATTCATCCCATCGCATGGCTATAAACGAGGTAATTTTATATCCTTCATATCTACAACAAATGATTTTTTGTTTTAGACAAAAGAAGCTGATGAAGTAGATATAGTGGGAAATGTCGACAACAAGGAAGAAATAATCAATTGTAACATTTATTTGTACATCACTGTTAAAGATAAATATATTTATAATTTTAGTTATTAATGACATAGACAAGTTTCATAAAATAAAACAAGTTAAGATCATGGATAGTTCCACTACAATTGTTTTCAGACTCAAGTAATAATTTATGATATATTTAAAAAAATAATTGTTGTTTTTAGATTTGAACACGAGCATGATGCAAAATATGTAAAATTATGGAAATCCTCCTCGAACTTGTTGATAAACTTGATTTTTCAAGCAAATGCATTATCCAATGCTGTTTAACCTGTTTTTTTGATTCATCGTTGTAATTAGTTTTTTTTTGTTGGTGTTGTTTTTTTTTCGCGTTTTTTGTTGTGCACAATTGTTTTTGTGTGTCGCTAGCAATAGCTTTAGCAACCATTGTTTTTGAATAATTAAGTTGACCATGTTATACAATAACTGTGTAATAAATATGATGAGCGAAGTATAGCTTGTATATGATTGTAAACAAGTTGATCTATGTTTTTTGAATAATATTCAATTTCATGAAACTATGGCTGAAGTTCTTGTGTTCTTTTGACTGAAGGCTAAATATAGGGTCTAGAAACTTAAATTCACCTGTGTCTGCCAGTCTGTAACATAGTTACCATATGATAACTATGGTCGAAATGTGATTGTTCCATTGATATAAATTATAATGGTTCATAGCTTTTCCTTTTAGAATGAATTCAAATTCATTATACAACAAAACGAGAGAATTCATTATGATATATTTGGAATGGCATCAAAAAATATTTTTATTATTTGATATTGGAAAAATGAGCTACAATAGTCAGAAGTTTAAAACGACAAATAAGTCTAACCTAGTTTGTGTAAAAAATCAGTAATATCGCAAATATAAATTGAACTTCATCAGACATCTGTCTAGTTATATGTACCATATGGAAAATTATTCTTTTTATATAAAAATAAAACTTCGAATCTAATACTAAAAACACTTTTGTTTCATGAAACAAATCACTTTTATCTATAAAATCAACTCTTTTATTTATCTACCATTTTATTTAACCATGTTTATGTCCATATACAATGCCATCCATGTCCGTAATCTGTCAGTCTAGGGAACGAAAGTGAATCCACTCTAGATCAAACGTTACTTGTGAAATCCTAAATCCAAAAAGATTTTTTTTCGAATTTAAATTCTTTACATTTCGATAAACATTGAATATTATTGATGGAATTGTATCCAAAAATGTTCGATAAATTTCAATTAAAGTTGCCAATGATTTTTCATCGGATTCTTCTGACCTAGTATTAATTAAAATCATAAATACAAAGTCATGATTTCATTTACTTTGATAAAGGTAGATTGCATGAAAGTATAATCCGTATAACATAATAATATTCTGCATCGACTAAATCACATCCTCACCCTCAACTTAGAATGAAATATAAATTTTACGAGATTAATGAATATAAACTAGTATCTTTGTTGTATATGAAAAAAGATCTACTGATTATTGTACAAAAATCACTAATTGAAATAAATATTTTTTCTCATTGTAGTTCAATTATTTCATGTGAATCATTAAATATAAACGAATGTCGTTTTATCAGAATATGTCTAAAACATCAATTAGGTATATTTATTTTTTAATTTATCGATGTTGAAATTTTTTGTATTATATAATCCTTCTAGCAAATCTAATTGTCCTTGATAAAGAACAATAGATTTTGTTTATCTTGGTTATTCAATCAATTTTCGTGTTCAACAACAATGTGATGACATAAATCTAATCGATTCATTTCATAGTAATCTTCCAATTTTTTATCGAATTTATCTATCAATAACTTCTATTATTATTCAATTTAAACTGATGACAATAAATAATAATATTGAAAATAAATCTATTTCTCTATCAGATATTGGTGGCTTGAAAAGAGAAAAATCTGATTTAACTAATCTTCTTCTTCAATCTACAACAAATTATATTTCACTACGAAGAATATTTCCTCATGGTGCAAAAAGACGTGGAAAAACACTGCTTATCAATGCAATAGCTCATGAAATTTCAGCAACAATTATTCGTATACATCTATCAAATATTTATAGTTAGCATTATGGTGAAAATGAAAGAAAGCTTAATCGTCTTTTCGCTCAAACAACTATTGAAAAATATAATAATATAAAGACAAAATATTTAATTATTGTTGAAAATATTGAAAGTCTTTTTCTTAATCAAGAAAATATAACATAACAATTAGAACGAAGATTAACAGCAACTTTAATTGAATTATTGGATCGACATTTAGATGGAAAAAATATTTTTTTAATGGTAACTACAAAGTGGCCTGATTTAGTTGATACTGATTTAAGACGACCAGGTAGAATTGATGAAGAAATTGAAATTGGAATGGCCAATCAGCAAGATTGACTTGAAATAAGAAATCATCAATTGTTTCTTTACTTTCTTATGGCTAGTTAAATAATCTGTTTTTTTTCAAATTTCAAATATTAAATTACGAATATCAAATGATCTGAATGGAAAAGAATTAAAATTAATTAGAGATAAAATACATGATTTTAGTGGATCTAATTTAGAAAATTTATGTAGAAAAGATAAGATGAAATATTTTGATAATCGAATGATTTATTAGTTTGCAAAATAAATTCTTTTTAAAGTATATATCAATATCTTTTGTGAATAGTTGTAGAGCTTAGAAAAACTTTCTTTCATTTGATAAATTTCAATTTTCTTTATGTTCCATTAGCAAATTATTATGTAAACAAGCAGAGATGAATTTAAATATTAAACATTTTGAAAATGTTTGAATTGTTATTTGACCAAGTAGTATACGTGAAGTTTTACTTAAAACCAACAGTACCAAAAGTACATTGGCTAGATATTTATTGATGGTCAACATGAATCAGAAAAACGACTTCAAGAAATGGTTGTTTGACTAATAAAATATGCTCATGTACTTGATGGTTTTCATCTTACTAACGACTAGTGGCGTAACCAAGGTAGGGCATGAGTGGGCTCAGCCCACTCACCGAACCTGTTCGCCCACTCACCGATAATTTTTAAAAAGTAAATTTTTTATAACAATATTTGTAGTGGTGTATCTTAAGGATGTATGAGTGGGCAGCGCCCCTCAAACAAGGTCTCTGTCCACACACCGATGGGAAAAAATATTAAATAAATACATAGACGTTTTCGTTGTCCTAGCATAGTAGAGTCATTTTGTAAGAGAGTGGAGCGCCGCCCACCCACCCACAATTTTCTGGTTACGCCACTACTAACGACGTACAAAAAAAAAATAAAACGGTGAATAAAAAAAGAACACGAATAAAAACCAAGAATGGCGCAGAAAAAAGAACGACGAACCAAAAACAACAGGTTAAGTCATGGATAATTTATTTGCTGTAGTAACCAAGTTTATTACAGCATTCGCAGATGACATCCAGAATCTAACATATTCCGCATCACGTGGATTTTCAAATCTAAAAACAAATATTTATTTCCTTATATGTATCGTTAAATTATTACTTTAATCTGAAAACCATTTTGGAAGAATTGGCAAAGATCTTGAGTTGACTAATCTTCAACATTTTGTTTGTGTCAATAATGACTAAAATTATAAAATGTTTTATCTTTATGACTAACATAAAAATAAGTTACATTGAATTATTTCTTGTTTTCCGTTGAAATTTCCCGATATATCTGTTTCATCAGGTTCCTTTGTCTAAAACAAAAAAAAACTTTTGTTATAGATCTGGACGCTATAAAATTATCTCGTCTACAGGTATGCAATGGGATGAATTTATAAACTATTGTTTTTTTTTTAGGGTGAGGTTGTGATGACCGAGAGCGAGAATGTCGAAGCAATGAAAAAATTTTCATTAAATAACGACTTATTGGTGATGAGAATGAATCATTCTTCGGTTTTCTTGTAGTTTTTTTGTCCAAAAGAAAAATTATTAGTGAGAATAAGGAAAGGTTACAGAAAGAAAAAAAACTATATTTCATTTTTTTTTCTTCCAATCACAAAATCAAAATGTGCGTTGCGTCTATGAACAAAGAAAGTCATCAAAATAAAAATTTATATTCAGAAGAATTTTTTTTGTTTTCATAAATTAATTTTCTCATTTAGAAGCTACTTAATAATCTTTTGTTTTCAATCTATAGCCTATCATACTGCCATAATCTGAAAAACTATTCGTCTTTGAATGTGAGAGATTTTTTATTAATTATTATAATGTCCGTTTGGAAGGACATTCGGCTTTTAAGGATTAACATAAATATAAATACGTACCGGTTGTAAACTATTCATTTCATCACCAGATTTACGTTCAACCGTGACATTAATGTTTGTTGGAAAGAGACAGATTTGAGAATCGATCCATAAGTCATCGGTGGTATGAGAATCTGTACCCATTATTATCAATCTGAAACAAATAAATGAAGAAATCTTTTTTTTAAAGAAAAACAAAGAAAATATATTGCTAATGAACATTCTATTTATAATTCAAAAGTCAATGGAAATAAAATTTATAGTAAACAAAAAAAAAGAAGAAACTAACCAAGTTCAAAATCAAGTTGTGCTAATAATTGTTTTTCACCATTATTTAAAATAATGGAACTCATATGATGTCGAGTATTGAATAAAGATAATATAGAATTTGTATCAGGTACATGACGTGATTCAAGTTTACATGCAATTATAAAGTAACTACATATTATAAAAATTCAAATTTATGAAAAAAAATTCTAATATAATCATCTATCTTTTCCTCAAAGTTCATGCGAGTTATCTCTGTAAATAGTACTGATTTCAATTAATCTCATTATTTGATATTCATTTAAAATCTTCAATGATATGTCTCAATTGAATAAAAACGATTATTAACATATTATCTGAGATGTCACGAACAAACGATTTTTTTTTTTTTTTAATAAGATTCAACTTAAATTTTCTTACATAACAGCTCAAAGTTGTAAATCAAGTTTTGTCATTTGATCATTGAAAAGTAAGATTCTATCAATCATATGGATAGTTCCACAAAGTATAGTTAAAAGCAATTATCAATCAATTGTTTTATATTAAGTTTAAAAATTATTTTGCTAGCATTTAAACGATGATAATCATGTACAGATATAATCCAATCAATAAGTTTACATCGAACTTTTGATGTAATAAGAACAGTTGAATTATTACCGGGTATTGATACACCTTGAGCTGCTTTTAAACAATTTGTTGATTCACGAAGACGTTTTTCTGAACATAATTTTTCATTTTCATTCATAAAACGCGCTTCTAAATTAAGTAAATATTTCATAACTTCTTTTTTATATGATGTAGCTGATAAAACATCAAAAAATGGATGTGTTGATGATTTAGGTTCATTAGTAACAGCTAAAAATAAAATAAAATAATTATTAATAAAAACAATACAAGTCATATTTACGATAAAGATCATCATCATCATCAGTTTGATTTTCATCATTAATTAAATGACTATCATGTTCATCAATTATTTTCTTTCCATTTTCATTAATTGAAATTTTTGGTGTAAAATATTGTGCTGTTGATGTTTGTTCTATTGGTAATAATAATGTTTCATTATCATTTGTTGTTGGAGCAGCTATAAACATTTCATTTAAACGTTCTTGAATATTTTCTATATCATTTTCAAACAACTGTACGTTTAATTGTATTAATTTATTCTTCAGATTTTAGAGAATTTATTAATAAATTTTGTGTTGGTGCAAAGATTGTATTAGTTGTTGTTCATTTTATATTATGTGGTATTATTGGTAAATGAGATTGATTATTATTTTCAATATTTAATGGATGTGAAAGCATAGGACGAATTTTTCTTTGAATTTGTAATAATTCATGATGACGAAAATTTGCTGTTGATTTAGAATTTTCATTTAGAGATTCAGTACAAGATAATGTAAATGATGATGAACGAGATAATATATGTTTTTTTATTGATCTCAATCGAAAAATAAGAATAAAAAAAAACAAGAAATTAAGATCAGTAAAATTGCTAGTAGTAGAATAGAATTAAATTTCGCAGACAAAGAACAACCAATCAATAAAGTGTTTGAAAATTTTAGTTGAGTTTTTAGATTTAATGTTGAATTGAAATTTTTTTTTAGAGGATATATAGATTTGATAAATACAAAGTTTGTTTTGTTTCAATTTGTTCTTTAAAATTGTAATTAATCCGTTGTCTGACGATTTTTAAAAAATACACTTTGACTGAAATATCACTTTTATTAGATAAAGTTTTGGTAGAATATTCGCTTGTTTTTCTTATTCATTAATCTGAAATTTTTTTTAGTTTTAATTTAACTTTTTTCAAGAAAATCGAGAAATAATATAAATATATGGCGCCCTCTACAAATGTATGTCTCACTTTTCCTACGAAAGATTGACTTAAGCGCAAAACGAATTTCAGATATGATCAATACTAACGAAAAATTCTCTTATGAACATCTAAGATACATTTTCTCCTATTTTTATTACTATTATTAATTTAGATCTGTTTCTTTTCATTCTACATAATCGTCTCAATATGTCAAAATCATCCAAGATTATTTTATTTTAATAAGATAAACATATATCTATACTTCTTATTTAGTTTCAAAACTACACACATTAAAACAAATAAGAAATGATGAATAATTTCAATGTCTTCATTTATAATATTTTAGAATGGTTGACGATGATAACATATTGAAAACTTCTTTGGAAAGTATTGTTCATAATTTAGATCGAAATGAATTAATTTCTGAATGTCAATGATGGGCTCTAACCCATGGCAAGCGTATCGATTTAATTATCTATCTTTTGTCTTATTTTTCAACTTATTTAAAGGTTTTGTTCAACGTTGTGTTACAGAGAATGACGATTGTAAAGTCGTTCCTTATCCATTTTACTATTTATCCATCACTACATCCATGTAATGAATATGACAAAGCATATAAAATTCAATATGGAATTAATAAATTTATTCAACGTCTTGCATTGGATATTAATCTAATGGATTCAGTCTTTGAAAAGTATAAATACATTGAGTTTTTTTCAAATAAGAATCAATCTATTTAGTTTGATTGAGATTAATACAATTGCTGTTGGCCTTGGTGCAGCAGCTAAACTGATGCGTGAATGGCATTACCCAGGTCGAAACGCGTACATCGGATCTTGTCGGTGTCGTATAATTCCGCCTGGATCCTGACGAAATAAACTGGAATCTTAACTAACGGATTCCAATCTGCGGATCCGACTGGATCCCTATAAAAGCCGGTCGGATCTTATCGGATTTCATTGAGTTTTTGTCGGATTCCGGCGATTTCTGGACCGGAATCGGTTAGTTAGGAATGAATGACCTGGGTAGTAGAATAATCAATATTTATTTTTCTAAAAAAAGCTTGTTAGCGCAGCCCCTACAGGGCTGAAATGTGGAACTCACATATTCGGTATCACTTAACTGCTTGTTCAATAGAGAGTGTTTAATTTTTAATGTATTGGATTTCAAAATATGTAAGAGGTAAATGTAAATTAAAACAAATGACGGATTAGAGAATGCAAAGTTGTTTGCTTACCAATGGTTGCTACTGTGAAGGTGAATATATTAGGAATTTGATGCCGACGAATTTCGATATATTCAGATTGTTGTTTGTTTAAGTGTAATATTTAAGAAAAATGTTATTCAACATGTATATGATATGTTTGTTAATATTGTTGATGTTGTAAATGATGTATAGAGCAGGAAAGTGTTTAAAATATATTTTATTACGGTTTCAAATAGTGATGTAAGCTCGGGTAGCACAGTGCAGGAAAACATTTACAGTGAATAAAAGTAAGAAAAGTCTTATATACAGTAGAAGACATTTGAAATTTTCATTATTACAGGAGTATAATAAGAAAAGTTTGAAAAGTTTTTTTTGTTATTTTTTTCGGAAAAGTGCATGAACATAGTTAGTTAAAGTTACCACGAGACATCTAGAACGATGCTACTGATTACAATAGCGATAAATCGAAAATAAAAGAGTCAGATTGCTTGTTAGCATAATAAATAAAAGAAAAAAACTGATCATTTACTAACACAGAATTGTGAAAGATCATCATATAATGATATTTTGTGAAAGACGATCTGAAAGGAGTGTTAAAGTATTTAGGGCAGAAACTTGCACTCATTTCCTCGGCCTCCCCCTCCCCCACAGAGCGTGACAGAGAAATTGCATACCCATCACAGACCGTGTACAGAGAAGCTCTGGACCCATCAGAGACGGTGACAGAGAAAATTCGCTATTAATTATACATATAAATAGAGTTGTTGTTATATGAACTACGATTAAATGTCACTGGAATTTCATGGAAATATGTCAACTGCTTTCTTTTTGCAGTTCGAGTGGAATTAATAGACAGTGACTTATTAACGGATCCGAAGATATCGAAGAAAACATATTTGTGTGACTAGTAACAACAGGTGCATCGTGTTTCACATTTTAATCCCGCATGGATTGCTCTAACAGCTTTTTCAACCTATTTTGGTTTTTAACAGGTATGTTTCGCTTATCTTGTGCTTGTAAAGTGTTTCAAAGTTCTTGGCTTAGATGATTTGGTATTGGATGATGAATATCTTAACTTTCTCCAGAAGTAGTTATTTAAGTGTGCGAAAGTAGTGACTAGAAACAAAGAAAATTTCTGATAATTTATATTTCAATATATATCTGATTAAAATAATGACATTTATACGATCAAAATAACTATTTAAGAGAAATCGAGTATTGGTAGTTTTGTATTAGATAACGTTATTATTAGTTAGCAAAACAAATTTTAATTATTCTCAATACTAATGATGCTCAAGATATACGGGTATATGAGGGTTGACATGACATACAATTCAGACAGTTGCTATTAAATAATTGGTTGTTATGATTCATTCAACTATTTGAAGTAAGTGAAAATAATCGAGCGACATCAGATTATTTAATATATCGTATATATAGTGCACTGTGAAAGTGAAAGTCATGCATGTCATCATCTATGAAACTTGTATTGACAAGGGAAATTTCAATCGATAAATAATTCATTTAAAGATGTTCTTAAGAGAGGGTCCGCGAGAAGACCACCCTACTCTCCATAGAAGTCGCCGGGGAAAAAAATTTTTTTTTCGGTTTTATTTTCTTAAATGAT